TGGGTGGGGTAGCAGACATCTGTAATCCCAGCTCTGTAAGAATCGGAGATGGATAATCAGAGTTCCAGTGGAGTACTGTACAGATGTTGGTGTCAACAGTGGTGAGCGCCTGGAATCACAGCTATGATGGGAATGTACAAAAGGATTGATGTCCTGGCCTATGTTTATGCCCGATGACATGTTGGTGTCATTTGGCACACAGAAGACAAGAGTCTTGGTCTGGTTTATTTTCTACGGTATCCACTAGTCATGGTGGGGGGTGGGGGACTTGTTATGGCCCTCGTCTTGGATTGGCATCTATTTCCAGAGGGACCAGGAGCAGCATTCCAGTACCCAGACCTCATTTGAGATCTGAGGTGAAGGCACTGGTTCCCATTATGATTTAAAGGGAGATTGTCCCCACACAACTGGATTGAGACAGATGTGGGTCTCCGATGGGACCAGCTCCCACACGCTGGTGAAGGAGATTATCTTCATTCATATATTTGGCCCTTATCTTCCTTGTTCCAGGTTTGTTTCTATTTCCCATGGAGTGAGGGACTCCAGCCACTGGACTGGCATACATACTTTCAAATGTTGACTTTATGAAAAAAAAATACCTAGGATACAAATTCTAATGAAAGACCTGTAAAAGACCCCTATACTGAAAGGTAAAGCTTTGATGTAAGAAATTTGAAAAACTCCCCCTTGGTGTAATCCCTGTTTTCACAGTACTTGATGTTGGCATAATTTGTGGAGGAGAAGGGAAAAACAAATTGTTTAAATAGGGATACATGTGGATACATTGCAACAAAGAGATGTACAAGTCCTTATGTTGAAAAACGAACTTTAAAACATTGGGTGCGGGGGTGTTGGGAGGGCAGGGATGGTAAGGAGGAGGCAACAATGCTTGACAAGAAATGTACTCATTACCTTGTTCATGTAATTGTAACCCCTCTGTACGGTATTTTTTTTTTTTTTGGTCCGGTCATGGGGCCTGAACTCTGGACCTGGGCGCTGTCCCTCAGCTCTTCAGCTCAAGGCTAGCGCTCTACCACTGGAGCCACAGCGCCATTTCCGGCTTTTTTCTTTTTGCTAATTGGTGCTGAGGAATCAAACCCAGGGCCTCATGCAGGCAAGGCAAGTGCTCTACCACTGAGCCACATTCCCAGCCCCTGTACGGTATTTTTACAATAAAAAACATTAATAAAAAACATACTTCACTTAATATAATTTTTTCCAAGTCTTTCCATTTCCTAACAAATGGGGCAATGTCATTCTTTCTGATGGAGGCATAGAATTCCATTGTGTTTATATACGACATTTTCTTGGTCCATTCATCTACTGAGGGGCATCTGGAATGATATTTTCACAATAAAAAAAATTTAAAAAAATATAATGAAGAAAGTACAGGAAAATAAAGAAATTGGAAAACCAGAAAGAATTCCTGTGTCCACAAACTGGAAGAATTAAAATTCTGAATGTGGCTATGTTCCTAAAAGACATTATAGATTCAATGCTATTCCCCTGAAAATTTCTGGGGTTTTTTTTTTTTTTTTTTTTTTTTTGCTGGAACAGAAAGGGAAATCTTTGTCTGAATCTAGGTGGGGCAAAAAGTTTATGGTGGACAAGAAATGTACTCACTACCTCCTCCGTATATCACCTTGACAATTTAAAAAAAAAAAGTTTATGGGATTTCTTGCTGTGTGGATAGCAGATGTCTGTCCTCCCAGCTCTGTAAGGGGTGGAGCTTGAGAGAATCAGAGCTCCAGTGCAGTCCTGTACAGATGTTAGTGTCAATAGTAGTGCACTCCTGTAATCATTCCTATGATGGGAATGTGCAAAAGGATTGAAATTCTCCTGTATTTAAGCCTGGTGGCTTGTTCACGGTTTGTGACACACATTAGACCAGTGTCTTGGCCCAGTTTGTGTCTCGGATAGGCAAATTCCTGCTAGTCATACTGGGAAGGGGAGGAGGGAGATGGCAACTCATTATGGCCCTAGTCATGGATTCACATTATTTCCAGAGGGGCCAGTAGCAGCGTTCCAGCACTCAGATCTCATTTGAGACGTAGGAGGGAAGGCACTGGTTTCGATTTTGCTTTCACAGGAAATTGTTCCCACACAAAGTCTTGGATTGAGACAGATGTGGGTCTTGGAGGGTGTGGGCTCCCACATTCTGGTTCAGGAAATTGTTTTCACTTGTATCCTAGGCTGACATCTTCGTGACCCCGGGTTGGTTTCTACTTCCTTCGGAGAGTGGGTGTGAGGCATCGGACTGGCAGGCTCTTGGCCCTGGGCTGGCTGGCTTGCACCTGGTTGGTAGTAAGTGCTTGGTCCCGCCCTGGCCTAAGCCTGGCAAGTGGCGCGTGCATAGCCCTGGGCTAACTCGTGCTGGTGCACTAGCACGTGCTTGGCCCCCAGGCTGGCAAGCTCTTCTCAGACTGGTGGGTTATCTGGCTGGCCTGAAGTAAGGTCTGAGGGAGTCTAAATTCAGACCTCAGGGGTGACAGTGAGCTTTGGAAGGGGCATGCTCCCAACAGGTGAGAGGGAGATTGTCTCCGCTGTCTTTTTAACAAATCAGGTTTCCACAGGCAGCCAGGATTACATAAGGTGTTTGGTCTTATTTCTGAACCAGTATTAGTACCAGTGGTCTCTTGCTGGAAGCAGACAAATGAGAGGGATGAAGATGGTTTCTGGCCTCTTTATCCTCTTCGAATATGGTGTCCTGGGAGGGAGAGGTCTGGGCCTAGCACTCTGGGTCATTAGCAGTGCAGCCTCCCATGTGACTGGTCCTCAGATGGGTATTCGCAGTTCCGCATGATGGTACTGGGCTGACCGGCTGCACTATGAAAGTATCCTGCCCCTGGATGCTGGACTCTCATCTACTTGATCTGTGTCCTTGGGTGTGCTGGTCAAATTCCTAGCACCATGAACGTTTTCTGCATCTGGATACTGTGGTCTCACCTTAACCTGTGTCGCTGTGTGTGCTGGTTGGGGTCCTGACATTTTGAAAGTTTTCTGCATCTGGTTGCTGTGATTTCACATTGTTGATCCTTGCTGCTCTGGACACAGGTTGCTCTACCTATGAGAAAAATCTCAATTTGTACTGCAATTTTAGCCTAAGTCCGCATTTAATACTACCCTATTTAATTAATATACTACTCCTTTTCTTGTGTCTTTTCTAATTGCTTTCCTAAATATGTAAACTAAAGTTCTGCCCTTCTATCATTATATTGCTTAGTTCTCTAAGATATTTCCCGCTTATCAATGTTCTAAATTTTAAAGTGCTCATGGAGTATGTTTGGTTCAAGAGTCTATTCATATATTTGCATTCTACAATATTCTTGAGTCTATTTGGTTCAATCTCTCCTTATCTCCACATTGCCTTTAAAATTCTAGGAATGGAAGGAGTTCCAGAAGATGTTGGAAAATTAACAGGGGACCAACAGAACTCTCTCTGAAGAGCAGAGTTTTAGAGTCTGGATGGTTACATGATGTAAGCTGCAATTACACAGGGATTAATACAAAAGAAGAAAATTATAAGCAGCCTGCATACCAAGACAGATTTAAGCACCTGCCGGTGTCAGCAGTGGCAAAGATGGTGGCTGGGGGAGCCATAACATACTGTGATGGCAGCAGAGACAGCATGCACTTGGACTTTCTACTTTACCTTCACCATGAACTCAAAGACCAAGAAAGGAAATCCACAACCCAGCTGGCCACAGACACATGCAGAAAGAACTCACCACATTGTGGATGGTCTGAAACACCACAAGAAAATGTGACCACCCCACCAAGAACATAATCCCTTCCTTCCAAAGAACAACACCTGGAAGGAAATTCTTCCCCCTACCAGAGAAGAATGTCATCTTTAATAGTGGCATGGAGCCTACTAGAGCAACTGGACAGTAACACTTGCTGGAGAAACAGTGACATTTTTCAAAATGGCAAATGACTCTGGTGTCCTTACATCTCTCCTCTCTAGCAGAAAAAAATATGACTCCATGGGAAGGGAGGCAGCTCCACTCAGGGGGATGCAGGGTCAGGGAGAGAAGGCCACACATCTCTCCAGAAAATAAAAACAAGCTCAGCATCCAGGAATATTGCAGCCCAACCTGCAGCTAGCCAGGCATCATGGAATTATAAACAAAAATTCTCACTGAAAAAAAAACTGGACAGGTCATAAAATTTGAGGACAGTTTCAGGCTGGGCCAAAAGGAAGGTCTCAAGATCTTGCCCCTCTCAGGATCTAGACCCTCTCAGGTTCTACCCCCTCTGTCTAAATGAATTCTCTGCCCAGCTACCATATGCAACTAAGAATTTTAAAAGTAAGTGATAAAATCCTATCAATGTAATAAATAAACAAATGTAAATGACCCTTGATAATATCATTAGAAAAGTTTTTTTCCTCCTGCAGTTTTAAAGTACATGCATGATATATTTTCTGACACCCAGTGCATGATAATGGATAAGTGTCCCACAACGTGCATCCAACACTACAGCCTTGTACAGACTGTTTATTATGCTGAAGTATCTCTGTTCTCCAGGGCCACTGAAGTCTACATGGAATTTGAATCTAAAATATGTTGACAACTTGAAAACATAGAGTTGTTTTTGATATTGACTTAGGTTTGTGATAGAAAAAATTTCCTCTATTATCGTGTGTTCTCAGACTACTACATCCTGAAAATGTCTTGATGTGTGTTAGCATATTTAGTAGTCATTATCTTTTTAAAAAGGAAAGTTCAGAATGCAAAAGTGGAACTCAATCTCAACACTGACTTTGAGTTATTTATTCACATGTAATTGTTAGTTTCAGCAGCATCATTGCTTCCTCAGGCAACAATAAATGGGTACATTTCTAGAGGACACTGCATATGGAATTCTTGTGAGCACATCCCTGTATCAACCACCAATGTTCTGTGCCTATTATGGACATTGTGGGTGGGAATCAACCTTCTTGGTATGATACCCTTGTAACTTTACTTGAGATATAGACTTTTTGTGGACATTTCACCATGCACATCAAATGGCATCCTCTGAGGAAATCCAGTTGCATCATCCCAAATGGCTTTCATGAAAACAGCTACTTGACACAGATGTTGACCAAAAAAACCATCCAAGGTAACTCCATCTCTTGGGCCTCACAATCTGTGGTCTTGGATGAAATCATAGCACCTGGGGTAATTCCACAAACATGTTTCCCAACTCATGGTTTTCTCCTGAATAAAGGCCACAGATGTAGAGCCCCAGGGAATACTTTTACACATGACTTCTGGGGACTCACAGGAGGCTTTGATGAAAGGTGAACTATAGTATAGATTCCTATCAATAAAAGGACACATATGTTCATAAAGAGATATCTGTCTTCGGGTCCTCACTTCTAGACAGAATTTCAGAGTGGCAGAGGCTTCAGGGATGTACCTTTTGTCTTTCATACTCCTACTTCTCCAGCTTCCCCTCCCTGTCAGGTCCTTGGCTGGCACTAGCTGCTTCTCTACTATGAAGCACCGAGCACACATGGATGGAGACCTGATGATCACTGGATTGTTCCCTCTCTACACTTTGGGAATTGATCGCAGTAATAGCGATTCTTCCTGGAAAGAAGACCACACACCGTAAGTAACTCATCATTACTGTTTTATTCTGAGGATGGGCAGTGGCTCAGGGAGCTCAATGTTCTGTCTCCTCTCCACTGACCTCCTGTCCATATTGTACCAGGAACAGCTCAATTTCATAATTTAGTCTTATATCTACAGCTAGTAGGAAAGGACTCTATCTTGTTCCAGGTATCTTCTACTTTCCAGGTTGGTAGGGTCTTCACTTTAGTCCAGAAACTCTTATCACTTCTCTATCCCAGGTGCCATCACAGAAAATGAAGGAATGTTATTACAATCAAGCTGAGTCCCTGGAATGAGTCTGGGACTCAAAGGATGCAGCTACATATTCTGACCCCTGGGCTAGTAATCTTAGGACTTTTCCTTATTAACACCTATATTTTGAAGACATGGATAAAAATTCTTATTGAAGGCTGGGTGACTCACGCCTGTAATCCTAACTACTCATGTGGCTGATATCTGAGGATGGAGATTTGAAGCCTGTCAAGGCACAAAAATCTTCAAGACTTTTATCTCCAATTAACAAGCCAAAAGCTGTCAGTGGAGATATTTCTCAAGTGACAGAGTGCTAGCTTTGAGTAAAAAAACTCAAGGAGAGTTTCTGATGCACTGATTTCAAGCCCTAGGATTGCCACACCCAAAGACACACACACTTATATTATTACTAAAGACAAGTAGATACTGTTGCAAACTAAGCCTTGTGTCATTATTTCATGTCAGAAATGCTCCACAATCCAAGCATTACCAGGCAGCTCCATGGTAAATTTTCCCTTATGGGAAAATTTTATATGCCCTGATGAGTTCTGCTTTACTTGTGCAAATGCATATTCTTGGCTTTTAGTTGGTTCCAGGGTCTCATTAAGTAAAAGCCAATAAAGAAAAAAGGAAAATGACCATGAAGAACTTCAAAGAATTCTGGCAAATGATCTGATTCCTACTGCATTGTTTCTACTGTCATTGTTTTCATCATTTACACTTTTTTTCAAGTACCTCTATGACAAGTATAACCTAATGTAGCTGCCCGAAGATGAGAGCAGAGATCACAGGACAGGAATTACTCTTTTCCCTCCTATAGAAGATGTATACCCTTGTCTTATATGTCACTGATGTGGGTAACTTTCTTTTATTTTGGTACTGGGAACTGGCCCTGAACTGTTTTGCTGAAGGCTAGTGCTCTAGCATTTCAGCCACATCTCCACTTCTGGCACTTTCTGGTGGTTAAATAGAGATAAGAGTCTCACAGACATCCCTGCCCAAGCTGGTTTCAAAACACTGTTCTCAGATCCCAGCTTCTTAAGTGTATAAGAATACAGGTGTGAATCGCTAGTGCCTGGCTTAGTTTATTTTTATTATCCACTATTTTACCAAGTTTACTTGATTTTCATTCTCTTAATTTCCTAAAATGTTTGAGTACTTTTTATCATGTGCTAATATAACCGCATTAAGTATTATGGTTTCAGCCAATGGATGTTTATTATCTACACATAGATATGAAATGAAGTCTGGTCTGGGATAGTAAAATTTTATGTGTAGTATTGGCTATGGATAGCAGTATTTATTCAATAAGATTTTCTTGTAGATAAATGTAGCATGGCAACTAGACATCAGTAGATGAGAGATTTGACTGAACTCTATACCCACTGATGTTACAGCAATGTTTCTCAATTTTTACACAATGTGGTGCTTGTGCCAATTATATGGTCCATATTGTAGTTTCACCACGCATGCCTCATACATTGAGTTGAGGCATTCGCTATATTTATGATTATTTTTATATCTTTTGCCACGTCCTTTTTCACTCTGCCATATCTATCATTTCTTCTGCTCATTTTTAGAGTCCTCAAAGTAGCTAGGATTAGAGGCAGGAGCCATGGTGACTGGCTTGCTTTGCACTCTTGATTGGCTTTTTCTCTCAAGGCTGATGCTCTATCACTTGAGCTACACCTCCACTTCTAGCTTCTTGTTGGTTAATTGGAGATGAAGAGTGTCATGGACTGTTCTGCCACTGCTGACCTTGGCTCAAGACCCTTGCCTCTTAGCCTCCTGTTTGGCTAGGATTTCAAGCATGAGCCACCAGTGGAGGTAGTTTTAATTTCTTGAGAAATCACCAGTCTTTAAGTTTTATGTACCATCACCAAAACTGCAATCTGTGTCTGGGTTGATAGGCAACACATAATCACTGATTTGTATTTTCCTAATTGCTCAAATGGTTGAACCTTTTTTTCTTCATTGGTTATCCATTTGTACTTTTTCATTTTTAAATTGTCTGTTCCTTTATTGAATTATCCTACTGGTATATAAGTTTTGGAGCTGTTTTCCACTATGCTATTATTCCTCTATGAAATGAATAGCTAGCAAGATATTTAACAATGCATTTGGCTGCCCTAGCATTTCTTTCATTGTACCAAAGATTTCAATTGGATACAACCACAGCTTCTTTCCCTATCCAAGAATCAGATATCTGTAGTTGTTTGCAATTACTTCTTGGTCTTATATTTCTTTGATCCATGTGTCTGTTTTATTGATTTTTTCTACTATTATGACAACACAGTATAAGTGCAATTTAGTGTCTTGGGAATGAGATAAAGTATTCTATCACTTAGTCCAACCCACAGCTTAATTATTGCTGTCATTTTATGAGCTATTTGAGTTCTGTTTAAGTTACCTGTGTATGTACATTTCCTCTCATTTTCTCTATTACTTTCAAAGTTCCAGGCTCTATTAAGAACTGACCAATTTTCAGTTTAAAAAAAAAAACAAGTTGAAAATAGAAACTAGTTTCTGTGTGGAAACTCAATTTTACAATGCCACCCCATAATAAGGGTGCCATCTTTAAGCTGTGTATTATTTCACAACTTCTCCAAGAATCAGATATCTGTAGTTGTTTGCAATTACTTGTTGGTTTTATATTTCTTTGATCCATGTGTCTGCTATATTGATTTTTTTCTGCTATAATGGCAAAACAGTATAAGAGAAAAACAGATGTAAGTATAATTCAGAATTGTTCTTGTGCCTTAAGATAGCTCTTGCTAATAGAGGATTTACTTTTTCATAAAATTTAGTCTTCCTTGTTCTATTTCTATAAAGGAAGTGATGGGGAATTTTGATGGAGACTGCACTGAATCTGCAGATGACTTTTCAATAAAAATGATTATTTTCATGAGACTGACTCTCACATCCAGAATAATGGAGTGTTTGTGTTGGTATGTGTAATTTTGTTGCTTTACCCTCTGATTGTTCATGATTTTGACTTCAGTCTGATCACACTGTTATTTATGTAGAACCTCCTCTTTGCGTTATTGAATATTACTATTGTGTTATTATTTTCTGATACTTTTTCTTCTACTGATTATTTCAATTCCTTCTACTGAGTTGGGATTTATTTTTCTAGTTTCTTGAGATGCATTTTAGGGCCTTTAGAACAGTTTCTGCACTCCTGATTTAAGCAAAGAGTGTTACCCTTTCATTTTTTTCCCTCCCTGTTCTGTACCTACAGATTCTGATATTCTCTGTTTTGCAAGGAAATTTGTTTTGAACAACAGTTCATTTAATTTTGTGCTAATCATTTAATTAAATTGAGTAATTTAATTTCATTATTTATTCATGGTTGAAAAAAATTCATTTCTAAGGTTATGTGCATATATTTTCTGTTTTTTCTTGTGTGATCTGTATATGTTCATGGTAGACTCAATATTTTAAAAACCTGGTTAGTTTTGTGTCCTATCCCATGATCTTTCCTGGAAAATTCTTGGTATGTTCATGAAAGATGATTTATTCAGACTTTGGATGAACTGTTCAATAGGTGAATGTGAAGCTCATCTTGTCAAGGGTGAAACTGAATTCCAGTACCTCCCTGTTTATTTTCATGATGATCTCTCCATAAAATCTTCAGCTTTTATTGTGTTGATTATTTTAAAGTCTGCTTAAATATAGTTAAATGCTTTGATAGTCTGTTAATATACATTCAGAATCGCTAAATCATCTTATTGATTTTATCCTTCATCATTTCATTACAAACTTGTCACATTTTGGTGCTTTCATTGAAGTCTATTTGATCTGATATGTGATGGGTACTTCAGTTTTCTCTTGTTTTTCATTTGCATGGACTGCCTTATTCCATTCCTTTTTCACGAATTGTATATTGTTGTTATAAAGGTGATGTACAGCCTGATTACATGTACATGAGTCAGATAAAGAGTACTTTGCTTTTTGACCATTATTACTTCTTCCATCCCTCTCTGTCTTTCCCTCCCATCCTCACCCACAAGTTATATAGTTCATTTTGAGTATGCTGTCTAGTGAGTACTACTGTTGAACTTGTTCATGCTTTGTCTCATTGCTTTTGTGTCCCCATTCCATCCCAAAAAACATATGAATGAACAAAACAAGATAAATCAAAACAACAACAAAGGAAAAGAACCTCTAGTTTCCATTTCCTGGAGTTCATTTCAATGAATATTATTTTATATGATCAGATGCACATAGGTATTGAGCCTTTGCATTCCTCTCCTAAGATTATCCTCCCTTATTCTCATTGTGCAGAATGCCTAGACAGTTGTAAAATATATCATGTCTCAGTTGGGTGTTTTTATATTTAGTTTCTTTACTTGCAGATTTATGTGAACACTCTATATGCACATTCATTTCCCTGGGTATGGCTTACATTTCTTTCTTCCAGTCATTGAGGGACATTGATGGTGAACTGAGTTTCTTGGAACCAACAAATCATTTGGCCTCAAATTTTCATTCATTGAGCCATTCTATTGATAGATTTTCCTGCATTTCCATCCCAGTCATTATTGACAGATCACATCTCACTACTGCCATTATGTATCTTGTTCTCCAGGTTTCTTAAAACTTCTTCTACACTTTCTCTCTTCTTAGAGACTTCAATGGCTATTGAGTTCAATAGTAGAGAACATGGATTTCCAGATTAGGAGTTTCCATTTGTCTGTTTTGAACTTTGTGATACTTAGAGGTATTAAAATAGGTTACAACAAGTTCTTTTAGAAGGATGACAACAATCCATGATGATGAGGATGAAATAAAAAGAGAAAATACACACAAATAGTAGAGGGTTATGATCAAATCCATGTAAATGTGCAGAAATGTTATAATGAAATTTTTCATTAAATTTTTATGATTTTTTATTACATATAATGCATATTATCATTATATATTATCATATTATTACATATATAATGTATATTATATATTACATATAATATACATAATATAAATTATGTATATAATATATTATGTATATTATATATAGTATTATATAATATATATTATATATGTAATAAAAAGTTTCATATAGATAGATAGATAGATAGTCTGTCATGGGGCTTGAACTCTGCGCCTGGGTGCTGTCCCTCAACTATTCAGCTCAAAGCTAGCACACTACCTCTTGAGTCATAAGATCACTTCCAGTTTTCTGGTCATTTATTGGAGATAAGAGTCTCACAGTCTTTCCTGCCCCGTCTGGCTTTGAAATATGATCCTCTGATCTCAGCCTCCTAAATAGCTAGGATTACAGGCGTGAGCCACCACCACCCAGCTTTTATTTAATATTTTAAGATACAATATTAATGAAATACAAATGAAAACTGTAACTGCCTTGTATTCCTCCCATCATTTGTAATATTGGATATCCAAATTTACATTGCTCTATAGTAATCACTACATATATTAATAATTTTCCCTCTTCAGAAGAATTATCCCTACAATTTGTCTAGAATATTTACTAGGTTAGAACATTCTCAGATCAGTTGTCTTGTCACTCTTTTTTTTGGGGGGGGGGTGGGTCCAGTCATGAGCCTGAACTCTGGGCCTGGGCACTGTCCCTCAGCTCTTTAGCTCAAGGCTAGCGCTCTACCACTTGAGCCACAGTGCCACTTCCAGCTTTTTTTTTCTGTTTATGTGGTGCTGAGGAATCGAACCCAGGGCCTCATGCATATAAGGCAAGCACTCTACCACTGAGCCACCTTCCCAGCCTGTATTTTCATTCTTACCAATAGGTTTTATATAATTTTTAATCTCATTTTCTTTAGATTCTAGTAAACAGGAATTAATATTCAACATAAAAGTTTATGAATACACTGCCTCTTGATCAATGTCACCACTTTTAACATTCTCACCTACCCCTCCTACACCTCCTCTTCCTTCACTTTTTTTTGGGGGGGGCTCCGGTCATGGGGCCTGAACTCTGGGCCTGGGCGCTGTCCCTCAGCTCTTCAGCTCAAGGCTAGTGCTCTACCACTTGAGCCACAACACCACTTCTGGCTTTTTTCTTATGTGGTGCTGAGGAATTGAACCCAGGGCCTCATGCATGCAAGGCAAGTGTTGTACCACTGAGCCACCTTCCCAGCCCTCATTCACTTTCTTAATTTTAGATTATGTGTTGAATTTTATCATTTAACAGTGAAATTTATGTATATAATACATTTGATCATTGTCATCCTTTTAACATGCTCTCCTTTACCCATCCCTGTTTTCTAAGTTCTGTGGCCTATACAATGCATTCTTGCCTACTCATTTCCCCTATTCATACTTCTATCCCTCTTCTTTTTGTCTTACCTCCCCCCGACACACACAGATTCCAATTACTCATTTTGTTGAGCTTTCACTTTATATTTCTAAAGAATTATACTAATTTTGTCCTCTATAAAGTCTCTTATACTTCAATAAATTCATTTATAACTACTTGGGTGCTTACTTCTATTTTTACCCAGTTACTGAATCCCCAAAACACTAATATTTGCTTTTCTGAAATACTGTTGTCAAAATTTAACAAAACCTTTTTTTGGTCGGTCATGGGGCTTGAACTCTGGGCCTGGGTGCTGTCCCTCAGCTCTTCAGCTCAAGGCTAGTACTGTACTATTTGAACCACACGGCTCTGGTGGTTTTTATTGGAGACAAGAGTTTCATGGACTTTCTTGCCCGAGTTGGTTCTGACCTGCAATCCTCAGATCTTAGCCTCCTGAGTATTTAGGAATATAGGCATGAGCCACCAGTGCCCAGTGATGAAACTTTTATTCACTCTTCACTCTTGCTTCCAGTTTACTCGTCCATATGTGTATGATCAATCAACTTTTCTTCAATCTCACTATTTTCTTCTGTTTAGAAGATATCACCAACATGATAGGCATCCATGGGGATGATTTCACATATGACTGTATATGTCAAACATATTGTTTCCTTTTAAAAATGGGTGTTGATTTCATGATATTAATTTCTTTATAATGCACATGCACATACACACACAAACACACACTTGTACACACAGACAGGACACAGAGAAAGGTAAAAGAGTACTTTGATCCCCTTTATTCCTCTCTATTCTTTTCTTTACAGTATTTCAATCTAAATATATTGGGAAGTGGGTAGTGATCATTGTACTTTACAATATTGGCCTTGGTCCTGGGATTTCAATGTAAAGCTTGCTTACAATTCTCTCCTCATCCCCTGTGTTTGAGGTTCCTCTCTCCATAATGAGTTCATTGGAGTTGGATGCATACATTTTTTAGTTACATAAAGAAGAATAAAATTCCCTCACCTGATACTTGAGCTCTTCTTCTGAATGATATTGGGAGAGCTGTTCAATACGTTGGGTTTGTGAACACAGCTTGGTATAGAAACTTTCGCAAATAAGACTTTGCTTCTGAAAGTTGCTCTTAAAGTGAACATTGGTTAGTTAGCCTTGCCAGCTACAAAACATAATTTGGGTGCTTAAAAACAAGATTTATTTTTCACACAGATAGAACTAGTTATCCTATGATAAAGGAAATGGAATATTTGATGATCACGAAAGCCTAATCCATGTTTACCAGACAACAGCTTTTTGTTGTGGTGCATATGATAGTGAGGAAAAAGCATGCTCTTTTCAGCTGAATCACATTCATGACATACTCTCTTCATGTCATTACCTGATTCTGTATACAACCATAAAACACTGCATTCCTATTCCATCCCAAATGAAGATAATGTTTTAACATATTCATTAGCAAAGAAGCAAGCATTCAATGCAGCAAAGTCATAAGTCTTGAAATGCTCCACAATTTCTATGCTCATTATGCAGGTTTGTCTTCAAGAACTATCAGTTTGTTTTGGCCTTGGCTTTTGCTATTGAGGAGATCAACAAAAACCCTGAACTCTTACATAACTTGACTCTGGGATTTGATGTCTATGATGTCCAATTTGGAACGTGGAGAATATTTAAGAATCCCTTCATTTGGCTTTTTGGGAAGTACAAGATTCCAAACTACTCTTGTCTGAGAGAAAACAGGTCTAGAGCAGTACTAACAGGACCATTTGGAATAACATCTGCCCTCATTGGGACATTGCTGCAACTCTACAGATTTCCACAGGTGAGGGTTGGAGGGATACAAAAATCTCTAATTGGTGCCATTTTCGGTGTTAGAAGATAATGATAGGAAGAACCTGGATTTATGTGCCTATCAAGTTTTATGGTATCAAAAGTAAGTACTCCAAGCTAGTGGGATATGTATATTCCTACTGTTTGGGAAAATAGAAGAATTCGTCTAACCAATGTATTTTTTATTATTTCAAGTCTTACCAATAATTTCCTTGTGGTGTGAAGATATGATGAGCAGAGTACTGGTGACTTGTACCTGAAATCTTAGCTACTCAGAAACATTTCCAATTAACAAGCAAAAAGCAAGATGTGAATGTGTGGCTCAAACAGTAGAGTACAAGCCTTGAAATAAAAAGCCAAGCAAGTGTCTGACGCCTTGAGTTTGTGCCCCTGTACTAGCATGCACATTCACACAAACACAAGTATATGAACACACATATACACACACACACAAGATATTACGTTGAGTGTAACCATTCTGGCTTAGAACGAGAAGTGGAAATGTTTTCTCTCATATGTAAAAGTTAGATCTAAAATTCAAGCATGCCATATTAAAATATATAGGACACATACATAGCCATTTACATATATACATGATCAATCCAACTAAAGTATGGTATACATAAAGGTGGAACACCATAGTAAAATTTCTGGAATTCCAGAAAGATGAAGCATATCTTCTGCAAAGAGGGTAAATATTAAGGGGAAAAGGTAGAGAATAGGGAATGGATTGGATGGGAAATCAACACAGTATTCAATGTACATATTTGAAAATGGAAAGGAAAACTCAAGGCATGGTAGGGTTGATATAGATGGGAGAAGTTGATAGAAATAGTGACAGAGATTAAGAGACATTATATAAGTAATTGGATAGATCGTACAACTATTAAATAATTCAACTATTTCTTTCAAAAATTAAACCAAAACCCTAGCTTTCACCTACTTCAACTGTTTCTTAACATATTTCAAGATTGCGATTATGATGGATGGCAATCTTCTCGTTCATGGAGCATCCAATTTTCTTTCCGTTTAGCTTACATTTGGGCCTTTTGATCATTCCCTGAGTGACCATCACAAGTTTCCTGCTCTCTATCAGGTGGCCCCAAAGGACACATCAATAGCCACTGCCATGGTGTCATTACTGCTTCACTTCACCTGGAGCTGGGTTGGACTGTTCACTTCACAAGATGAGAATGGCTTGTGGATGCTTCCTGAACTTAAAGAAGAAATGGCCAAGAATAGAGTTTGTGTAGCCTATGAGCTACCAATATCAAGCAAAGGCACTGAACATATAATCAGAATTATGGCCGTTTATAATGAGATAAATAAATCTTCAGCAAATGTCCTCATCATTTATGGTGATAATGAATCACTATTAGATTTAATGCTGTTTGTTGAGCAATTTTTAATAAAAGGCAAAGTTTGTATCATGAACTCACAGTGGGATTTAAAAACGAGGAGATATTTCATGCTAGGCTCATTCCCTGTACCTCTTATTTTCTCACACCATCATGCAGATGTTTCTGGATTCACAGATTTTGTCAAAGCAGTTCACCCTTCCAAATACCCAGAAGACTATTTTCTTGCAAAGCTGTGGTTTCTCTCTTATAATTGCTCAGATGCTGACTCTGACTGTGTATCATGGGACAGTTGTCCTCGTGATGCCTCCTTGGATTGGTTGCCTAGGCACATTTTTGACATTACCATGTCTAGAGACAGTTACAATATATATAATGCTGTGTATGCTGTGGCCCAGGCTCTCCATGAGATGCTTCTTCATCAAACAGAAGTTCAAACAATGGGAAATAGAAAAAGGACAGTGCATTCCCCTGTACAGGTAATTTTTCTTTACTGGTTGGCACACATCATGAGCAACAGCACTTCCTGGAAAATGTACTGGATGAAATTAAATATTTGGATTGATTTTCCAAAACCCAGGAAATTACTTTTTTATCTATCATGGGGCTTGAACTCTGGGCCTGGGCGCTGTCCCTCAGCTCTTCAGCTCAAGGCTAGCTCTCTACCACTTGAGCCAAAGCACGACTCTCAGTTTTCTGGTGGTTTATTGGAGATAAGAGTCACACAGACTTCCCACCTGGGCTGGCTTTGAACCATGATCCTCAGATCTCAGCCTCCTAAGTAGCTAGGATTATAAGCATGAGCCACCAGTGCTATGCCAGGAAATTATTTTTGTTTAAATGTCTTAGAGATACTCTAGATATATTTGCAAATTTTCTTACAAATAAACAGGCCAGTAACAAAAATTAAATATAATTCATATTTTTATAATGCATTTTGTGCCTTTGTTGGCTTTTTGTATTCATTTGGTTTTTGCGGATCCTAGGGCTTGACATCAGGGACTGGATGCTGTTCCAAGATCACTTTGTACTCATACCTAGTGCTCTACCACTAGAGCCATGCCACCACTTCCAGCTTTTACTGAGTAGTTTTTTAAGAGTCTTATGGGATTTTCTGCCTGGAATGGTTTCCAACCATGATCTTCAGAGCTTATCCTCCTGAGTACCTAAAATTTTAGGCATGAGCCACCAGATCTTGGCTTATGAGTTGGTTTCATTACAAATAACCTCAACATGCTCATAGTTAATGTTTTGAAAACTGTAAATTCAGCTTCTTTCTATGAGTTTCTTGAATAATAGCAAAGGATCATTTGTTTAACAGAATTATCCATATTTTTCATATGTGATCTATTTTCATTCAACTTCCATATTAAAAGTTTAGCAAACTCCAAGTAAAGGCATTCATAAAAAAGTGATAGTTGGGAAAAACTGTAGCTAAGCAACCGAGTATTATCTCATTCCTGGCTGTTTGTTGGGAATTGGTTTCTCTTATTTAAACAAAAATCCTTCTGATCCTTTTCTGACAGATCAGGATTCAGAGAGATTATTTCATTCCTCCATAGAATTTCTTCTGCTATACTTCATTAGGTGGCTATGCTATGCTTGGATTGAGAGACAGAGTTTGAAGGCAATCAGGAGCTTTTCTTACTTCAGGTTTTCTGTCTTAACTTGGATATACTTCACCAGAAAATGATGTATCTCTTTTAGCTGCACCCTTTTCTGAAAAACATCCAATTTTACAACCCTGCTGGAGACCAAGTGATTTTGGATGAGAAAAGGAAATTGGAGCCAGAGTATGACATTCTGAACATTTGGAATTTTCCAGAAGGTCTTCAACTGGAGGTGAAAGTAGGAAACTTTTCTCCATATGCTCTCCATGGTAATCAACTGTCTTTATCTGAAGATATGGTAGAGTGGGCCATAGGAACTACAGAGGTGGGTTGGCTCTAATCATAATGATTTTTTAAATTTCATTTTATTGTAAAGATGCTATATAGAGGGGTTACAGTCACATGACTAAGGCAATGAGTACATTTCTTATCGAGCATTGTTTCCCTTTCCCTAGTTGTTCTCCCACTATTCCTGCCCTCCCCCATATCACTAAAATCATAATAATTTTAAGGACATCTATGTAAGTAAAAGTCATCATTCAACTTTACACCTGTCTGACTATCAGCAACTTTCACTTGTAACTTAGCTATTCAGATAGCTGAGATCTGAATATCACAATTTAAAATTAGTCCACACATGAACATCTATGAAGTTCTTATCGCCAATTAACCACCAAAAATCAGGAAGTGGAGATGTAATTCAAGTAGTAGAGTGCTAAATTTGAGCAAAAATGCTCAAGGCCACTGCTTAGAGTCTTGAGTTCAAGCCCCAGGTCTGACTACCATCAAAAATTTTTTTTAATGTTTTCCTAAATGTTGATTTTGAATACCTTCATAAAAATAAATAATATATTTTAGTAAGTTTCTCACACTGTGATAAAGTATGTGATGAATCACTGTATTTAGATGAATGGTTTATTCTGTGGCGTTTTCATTCCATAGAATGTTGACCTGCTACATAGGCATCTTTGGGAAGAGGAATCATTGAAGATGCCTGGGAAAAGAGTCTCACTTCATGGTCACTGGAAAACCAAGAGAAAGATGATTCTGGGGTTCACAAAACACTATAAAAAAAGGAGGTTTTCCTCCAGGCTCTTCTCCACTTTACACATGAGGAGGGGACAACACATAATGACATGAACTCATGCCAGTTCATTAGGCTCTCCACAGGGACTTATTTTCTCTAAATGAGTATCCCATACTTTTCACTAGTTCAACAGGCTACTAATAAGGTTGCATCTCATAAGCCTTTGAGAATAATGGCATTTAGAATCTATAACAGAATTCAAATAATTGACTACATTTACCCACATAGAAACATAATCCTTAATAATCTGATTTTTTTAAAAAAACAATGGTATTTTTGGAGTGTGGGGTATGAGTCTAAACAGTTACTGACACACCTCTGACTTTCGTCAGACTCCTCACTCTGTCTGCAGTGAGAGTTGTGGTCCAGGATTCAGGAAATCTCCTCAGGAGGGAAAGGCTGCCTGTTGCTTTTCTTGTAACCCTTGCCAACAGAATGAGATCACTAATGAGACAGGTAAGTCCATGTCTTAGTAAGGAATTCTTCATTTCTCTCTTGTTTTCCTCAGTCAAACAAACTCAATGCAAAAGTTGTGTATTAGGGTTGCCCAGCCCATTTGCCTTTTCTCTGGTATGGTGGTATTGCTAATGAAATATAATATATCATTGTTTTGAATTACACATTTAGTAATATTTTTGATATACTGCAGGCAAAGTTATTTGCAAGAATGCCTCTTATCATGAATCATTGGACAAGGGTGAACTGAAATAAATTAAATGTAAGTTTTATTAAGGACAGTGATCTTTTTTATGTTGATACTGTTTTTATTGTAAAAATACTGTTCAGAGGGGATACAGTTATATGAGCAAGGTAATGAGTACATTTCCTATCAAGCATTGTTGCCTCCACGTTTGTTTTTACCCTACTATCCTACCCACCCACCTCCACAACTACACTGCCCCCCACAACCCCACCTAAATTATAAAGTTCATTTTTCAACATAATGTCTTGTACATCTCATTGTTACAATGGGTCAACCTGTATCCCTATTTAAGAATTATGTTTTTCCCTTCCTCTCCCCAAATTAGAGAAAGTTGTATACAATATGTAGGGCACCAACATCAAATACTGTGAAAAGCGGGGTTATACCGTGGGGGAGGAACATACAAAGAAAAAATCACATGGTACATTATAACTAGGTTAGAAACAATAGCAAGAAAAAACAAACCACTTGTGTCCCTATTTTGGGGTTCATTTCACTTAACATCATCTTATCTGGTCATATGTACATAACCATCTTTCTGCTTGTCCCAGACATATAAGTTACTGCAAATAAGGTAAATCATGGGACCCATGTTTCTTTGGGCCTGGCTTACTAAACTTAATATAATTTTTTCCAAGTCTTTCCATTTCCTAACAGATGGAGCAATGGCATTCTTTCTGATGGAGGCATAGAATACCATTGTGTGTGTGTGTGTGTCTGTGTGTGTGTGTGTGTGTGTGTATCACATTTTCTTGATCCATTCATCTATTGAGGAGCATCTGAGTTGGTTCCACATCTTAGCTATAGTAAATAATTCTGCAATAAACATAGTTGTGCTGTTAGCTTTTGTATGGTCTTGTTTGTGATCATTTGGGTACATGCCAAAAAGAGGGATTGCTGGGATACAGGGGAGGTCTATGTGGAGTCTTTTGAGGAACCTTCATACTGTTTTCCAGAGTGATTGAACGAGTTTGCACCCCAACCAACAGAGAAGTAGGGTTCCAGTCTGGCCACATCCCCTCCAGCATCTATGGTTGTTAGAGTTCTTGATTATAGCCATTCTTTTTTTTTTTTTTGGTCGGTCTTGGGGCTTGAACCACAGGCTTGGGCGCTGTTCTTGCACTCTTCGGTTCAAGGCAAGCACTCTACTGCTTGAGCCAGGACACCACTTTTGGTTTTCTAGTGGTTTATTGGAGATAAGAGTCTCACGGACTTTCCTGCCCGGGCTGGCTTTGAACCATGATCCTCACATCTCAGCCTCCGGAGTAGCTAGATTACAGGCGTGAGCCACCATCGCCCCGCTGATTATTCTAACAGGGGTGAGGTGCAATCTCAATTTTCTTTTGATTTGCCTTTCTTTTATGGCTATAGAGGTTGAGCCATTCATGTGTCTATTGGCCATTCTTATTTCTTCCTCAGAGAAGTTTCTCTTTAAGTCTTTAGCCAACTTATTGGACAGTTGTTTCTTTGAGATTTGTTGTTGGGGGATTTCTTTTTTTGAATTCCAAGTAAATTTTAGACATGAGACCCTTGTCCATTGTATAGCTAGTGAAGATCTTCTCCCAGGCTATGGACTTTCTATTGGTCTTGTTAGCTATGTGCCTTGCCATACAGGAGTTCTGCAGCTTCATGCAATCCCACTTATCCAAACTTTTTTTGATTTGTTGTGTTTCTGGGGCTCTATTAGAAAATTTTCAGCCTATGCCAAGGATACCTAAGGTTTCCCCTATTCCTTCCCCTAATGTTTTCATGGAGTCTGCTTTGCCTCCGAGGTCGTTGATCCATTTGGAGTTGATTCTGGTTCAGGGTGATATATAAAGATCTAGCTTAAGTTTTCTACAGGTGATTAACTAATTCTGCCACCACCATTTACTGAAGAGGCTGTCTTTCTTCCATTCTATTTTTAGTCCTGTTATTGAAAAATATTTAGCTATATGTCTGTGGGTTCATTTCTGGAATTTCAATTCTATTCCATTGGTCCTGAGGTCTGTTCTTGTGCCAGTACCAAGCTATTTTGATTACTCTGGCTTTGTAGTAGAGTTTGAAATTTGCCATTGATATTCCTCCAGCATTGTTCTTTCTGTAAAAGATTGTTTTTGCTATTCAGGGTCTTTTATTGTTGCATGTGAATTTTTAGATTGCCTCTTCTATTTCCTTGAAGAATGAGGTTAGAATATTGATAGGTATCACATTGAACTTGTAGATACCTTAGGGAATTATTGCCATTTTCATGATTTTGATCCTTCCAATCCAGGAGCATGGGAGATTTTTCCTCTTCCTAAGTTCTGCTTTGATTTCCTTTTTCAGGTTTTTAAAGTTTTCATCATAGAGGTCCTTCACTTTAGTTGTTAATTCTTAGGTATTTTATTTTTTGTGAGCTACTACAAAAGGAGTTGCTTTCCTGATTTCAGGTGCCCTCTTCTCATTGTTGTCATACAGAAAAGCCATTGATTTTTGAGGGTTAATTTTATACCCCGCTACTTTGCCAAAGTTTCAAATCAGCTCGAGTAATTTGGGAGTGGAGTCTATGGGATTCTTTAAATACAAGATCATGTCATCTGCAAAGAGGGAGAGTTTTACTTGATCTTTTCCTATTTGGACCCCTTTTATGTTTGTATCTTGTCTTATTGCTATAGCTAGGCATTCTAATGCTAAATTGAAGAGAAGTGAAGAAATTGGACATCCTTTTCTCATTCCTGAGTTTAGAAGAAATGGCTTCAGTTTTTCACCATTAAGTATAATACTGCCTGGAGGCTTGTCATATACGGCCTTTATTGTATTGAGGAATGTTCCATGAATTCCTGGTTTTTCCAGAGCCTTCATCATAAAGGGGTGTTGGATCTTGTCAAATGCTTTTTCTGCATCTATTGAGATAACCATGTGGTTCTTATCCTTGCTTCTGTTGATTTGATGAATCATATTAATTGATTTATGTATATTGAACCAGTTTTGCATCCCTGACATGAATCCTGTTTGATCGTGGTGTACGATTTTTTGGATGAATTGTTGAAGTTGATTGGCCAAAATTTTGTTAAGTTTTGCATCAATATTCATAAAAGAAAAGGGTCTATAGTTCTCTTTCTTTGATGAGTCCTTGCCTGGTTTTGGGATGAGGGTTAAGATGGCTTCATAGAGTTCGGTAGTGAAATTTCAATTTCAGTTTCATTGACAAGTTGGAGGAGTATTGGTGTGAGTTCTGCTTTTAAGCCCTTGTAGAATTCAGCTGTAAATCCATCCTGAGCTTTTCTTAGATGGGAGGCCTCTTATTGCTTTTTGTGTTTCAAGGCTTGATATGGGTCTGTTAAGTTGGTTTAACTCATCTTGGTTTAGTTTCAGCATCTTGATATTTGCAAGGAAATAGTCCATTTCTTCCACATTCTCAAACTTATTAGCATAAATGTTTGAAAAGTATTTGCTTATAATACTCTGAATCTTAGTTGGTTCTGCTATGAGGTTTCCATTCTCAACTCTGAGTTTGTTTATTAGGTTGTGTTCTCTTATTTTTGTTGATTCGTTCTATGGTTTTTTTGTGGATTCTAATTAATTTAATTCTGATTTAATTTAATTCATTTCTTTCTGTCTACTGGATTGGGGTTTAGCTTGCTGCTCATTTTCAAAGAGATTCAGATATCTCATTAAATTGTTGGTTTTAGATATCTCCAGTTTGTTGCTATAGTAACTCAGAGCTATAAATTTGCCTCTGAGTACTGCCTTTGCTGTGTCCCAGAGGAGCTGGTAATTTCTGTGTTCATTTTTGTTGGATATCATGAACATTTGATTTTCCTTTCTCAATCTTTCAGCCTCCATGAGTTACAGGACTTTCTTTGGTTGCTTTTATTGTTGACTTCTAATTTTATTCCTTTGTGGTCTGAGAGAATGGGGGCGTAAGTTCAATGTTTCTGAATTTGGAAAAGTTTGCTTTGTGACCTAAAATGTGGTCTATTTTGGAAAATGTTCCATGTGCTGCTGAGAAAAACATGTATTCTGATGCTTCTGGGTGAAATATTAGGTAGATGTCTGTTAAATCTATTTGATCTATGCAGTTGTTTAGATCTGCAGAATCTCTGTTGAGTTTTTGCCGAGTTGATCTATCTAGTGGGGATAGTGGAGTGTTAAAGTCTCCAAAAATTAATGTCTTTGGATCTATGTGAGATTTGAAGGGAAGTAGTGTTTCTTGGATACATTTGGGTGCTCCGTTGTTTGGTGAATAGATATTTAAGGGTCGCAGTATCCTCCTTAAGGAGAGATATTAGTATGTAGTGGAGAGGTAAAGGAAAGATTGAACTTAACGCAATCCTAATCTCACAGAGGAAATGGGTAGAACAGAATGAATAGAGAGAAATAAACAAGAAAAAATTGAAAAAACAAAAGTTTAAATTTTAGAAATGAAACTCTTAAAAACTATGTAAGTATAAACAAATAACACTGATAGTAGAAAAGGATAGAATGAGAGAAGGAAAAAGAAAAAGGAAAAAGGAAAGGAATAAAAAATTTAATAATGGAATACTTAAAAAGTATATAGGTGTAACCAAATAATACTACTATTAAAGAAGTTAAGACTAATATGTTGTGAATTAAGTAATCAATTTCTGAATTAAGTACGTTGAAAATGAAGGATAAGGTCTAATAATTGACGATGGGTATATATCTGTGGATGAGCAGAACACCAATTAAGTCAGGCAAAAATAAAGACAAAAATAAAAGGACCAAAATGTTAAAAGAGATTTAAAACATGAGCACACACAAACACATACACACACCCTAAAATAAAAATTATGAAGAAAAAAAAAGAGAAACTCTTTTATTGAAAAATAGGTAGAAAAAGAGTTCTTTGATTTTTTTAGGTAGCTAGGGGGAAGATTTGTATATCCCATCTGTCTGTAACCAGTCTCATGGTGGAGTCTCTGGTTTGCTTGCGGTGTTTGGTTTTCCTGTTTCTTGATTGTTTTCTTAAGTCAGTTTTTTTGAGCAAGCAGAAAAAAGCTCTGCCTTACCCAGAACTTTGTGATCCTCCTCCCAGGCTAGTTCAGTGGGAGGGTCATCTGCTGAGTATCACAAAAGAGTCAGATGGCTGTTTCTTCTAGCTTGGAGTTGCTGTGATGAGGCTAAGTTCTGGGTAGGGATGAAGCCTGTCAGCAATCAGTAGCTTTTCCTTGAGTGGCTAGCTCTGGAGACAAACACATTTCCCAGCCTGGAGCCATTCTCAGGATTTATGTTTACTTAGTTTCAATTGTTTGTCTTTTATCCCTCCTCCTGCTGGGTGTCCTGTCTAGGCTGCAGTGGGAAGGGACAGCCTCTGGCTCTGTTTACCCAGTGAAGAAAGTCATTCCTCTGGTGGCAGAGCTCCCTCTGCCTGGGAAAGGCAACTTTCCACTGGCTGGAGCTGAGCCTGGCAGGTCGGATCAGGTTCCTGTGACCTGTTGAATGGCTCCTATTGCTTTCTTCCAAGACCTGAGTTGGAGCTAGTTGCTTGGGCCAGGCCTTTGTCAGTATGAAAGATGGGGTTCTTCTCCAGTGGTGGTGGAGGGGCTACCTTCCACTGCTGCACCTTGAGAAGGAGTAAAGATGTCTTGGAGGTATTCATATCAGCCTATTGGTTTCGGGGCCATCTATGTTCTGTGATCAGCAGGATGAAGATTCTGGCTCCTTATCAGTTCTTGCTGGTGGTGAGTAGAATCCACTCATACACCATGTCTGGTGCCTTTGTCTCGGGATCTCTCTGTTGATATGATGGCCACCACCAGGGACATTGGCAAGTGCTCCTTGACCAAGCAACCGGGATTTTTCTTCTCTGGCCAAACACTCTGTAGTGTGATGGCACACTTGGTGTGATTTTCTAGCCTAGGACTGTTCACTAGAACACTAAAAGTGCTTTCTATGCAAGAGTTGGATTAGCTTCCAGGTTCTCCTCTGCCATCTTCCTACAGATTCCACAGTGATTGTTTTAAGTTACACTTTTGTCCACACAGAAAAGATGAATCTTGCATATTGCTATTTTTCAGTGCCCACAACTGTTCTTGGCACAGGACAAGCGTTCAGAAAGGCAGATTCAGTTGAAGAAGTGAGCATTACTATAGAGTTTCCAAGACTGTTTTCTCTGCTCCTACTGTTTCACAGATAAATAGGCAAGATGAACATAATTAGATGAATTCAAGTATGTGCCACAAGAATCAAATTGTTTTACAGAGTCATGCAGGAAATTGTGACATGTACAATTAAAATTTTCAGTAGGATTGGAAAGTAGGGCACAGCTCAGTTCATAAGAGTGAGGAAAAGTGCAGAAAATTGTCAGGATATTAGAATACCACAACTGTCATGATGTTAATATATGTGATAATCACTGAAGGAACAAAGTTGAATTTTTATGTAAAAGCCTGAATAAAGAACTAGATGATAATGGAAACAGGTCATGGTTTAGAAAAGAAAAAAATACTTTTATTGTAAATGCTGACAGGTTAGGATAACTTCTAAGTGAAAAATTTCCTAAATTATTTGAAGTAAAAGACATTCACAACAAGAACTAATGGTAGCTTACACTTCCCACCAGATATGGGCCAGTGTGTGAAATGTGCAGATCATCAGTATGTCAACACACAGAGAAATCAGTGCCTCCTGAGAGATGCAAGTTTCCTGGCTTTTGGAGATCCCTTGGGCATGGCTCTGGCCTGCATGGCTATCTGCTTCTCTATGCTAACTGTTGCTGTTCTTGGGATATTTGTGAAACACCAAGACACTGCCATTGTCAAGGCCAATAACCGGACTCTCAGCTACATCTTGCTCATCTCCCTCATCTTCTGTTTCCTCTGTTCCTTGCTCTTTCTGGGCCATCCCAACACAGTCACCTGCATCCTGCAACAGGTCACATTTGGAGTGGTGTTCACTGTAGCTGTTTCCACAGTACTAGCTAAAACAGTGACTGTGGTCCTGGCTTTCAAGGCCACTTCCCCAGGGAGAAAGATGAGGTGGCTGCTGGTATCAGGGGCGCCAAACCTCATCATTCCCATCTGCACCCTGATCCAGGTGACCCTCTGTGTACTCTGGTTGGGGACCTATCCTCCCTTTGTGGACACAGATGCGCAGTCTGAACATGGCCACATCATCATCCTGTGCAACAAGGGCTCTCTCACTGCCTTCTACTGTGTCCTGGGATACCTGGGCTCTCTGGCCCTGGCCAGCTTCACTGTGGCTTTTCTGGCCAGGAACCTGCCTGACACCTTCAATGAAGCCAAGTTCCTGACCTTCAGCATGCTGGTGTTTTGCAGTGTGTGGGTCACCTTCCTGCCTGTCTACCACAGTGCCACAGGGAAGGTCATGGTGGCTGTGGAGGTCTTCTCCATCTTGGCCTCTGGTGCAGGACTCCTAGGCTGCATATTTGCACCAAAGTGTTACAACATCTTGTTAGTGCCAAATAAAAATTCTCTGCATTGTTTCAGTGATAAAAAACCTAGTAGGAGAAACAAACATTCTTAAGACTATACTCACATTTTGATTACTAACGTTTTTTACAGTAATTTTTTTTCTTCTTGTAATGCTTAGTATTATGAAATGTTTACTTCGATAATAAGGATCTATTGTGCATTTTCTAGTCGTGGTAGTCACAAGTATTCACCATTTAAAGTGGAATTTTTCTGCTATATTTTTGCTTCCTCCTATTCAATCTAAACATTACTCTATCATACCTTCTTTTTAGTGTCTTTTTCACTGATGATTTTTGAAATCACTTTTCTAAATTTTTAAATAAACTTCCGCTCTGAATACCACCATGATACAGAGTCTTCTAATATGTTTCATTAGTATTTTACTCTTGACAAATTTTCCTCTTTAAATATCATCCTCAGAGATTGTTTTGGTCACTACTTCTGTATTTCTATTCACACATTCACCTTTTGCAAGTATGCTGAGTCTCTTTGGTGGCACCTTTCTTGATGTGTCTTTGTCTGTCTTTCTTTTTGCCATTCTCCATCTCCTTCTCTCTCAGCAGTCCTCCCTCTCAGGCTGCTTTCCTCATATGGCATTAGGAATGACTTGGATAAGCTATAAAAATATTCTTCACTTTAAGATTATAATGTAGAAGATCTTTTGACTCTTCTAAGATTAAATTCTCTAATGCATCATAGCTTGCTCTCCATGTCTAGATATACTTTTTAATTTGTTGTTCATTAATGAATTTTTACTCATTTAATACATAAAATTTTAAATAATGAATATATATGATTATTTCTTTTAATGTAGCACTTCTTACAATCTGTTGAAAGATGAATAATTTTTAATTTTGTTGTTGGTTGTGGGGCTTGAACTCTGGGACTGTGTGCTCTCCTTGAGCCCTTCAGCTCAAGATCAGCAATCTACCATTGAACCACAGCACCATTTCCAGTTTTCTGGTGGTTAGTTGGAGATAAGAGTCCCACAGACTTTATTGCCAAGGGTGGTTTTGAACCAAAATCCTCAGATCTCAGCCTCCTGAGTAGTTAGGGTTACAGGCATAAGCCAGCAGTGCCTGGCTGAAATATGAACATTTCAAAACTCTCAATTTGATAAGGAAAGCATGACTTATTCTTTCAAGTAGATTGACTTAGTAGATTCTATACTATTTCTACAGAATCACATATTCAAGTCATATAGACACAATTGTACCCATTTCTCATCTCTTCTAGTGTTCATTACAAGTTTCTTCTTACATTAATTAAATTCATTAAATTAATTAAATTTTTCATGCTTGAACTATACTGTGTTTTTCAATCATGTCTCTGTTACCACTTGAGCCACAGCTCCATTTCTAGCTTTTTTGGTCTTTCATTGACATTCCTGCCCACATAGACTTTCCCGCCCAAACTGAAGGCCAACCTCTTCTCACAGTTACATTTCTCATAAAGAAATGACTGTGTAACTGACTCTAGTTTTCTATAAATTAATTTTTTGAAAATATAACAATATTTGGGGAAAATTATGTGCATTGTTTTGGTTGAGGGCATACTGTTTAACAAATGAAAATGTAATTAATTTCCAACTTCTTCAGTATGTTAATTAGATATATAAAAATACTCATCAGCGCTGAGAAGGTAGCTCAGTGGTAGAGTGCTTGCCTTGCATGCCTGAGGCCCTGGGTTCGATTCCTCAGCACCTCATAAGCAAAAAGAAAAAACCAGAAGTGGCACGGTGGCTCAAGTGGTAGAGCGCTAACCTTGAGCTGAAGAGCTGAGGGATAGTGCCCAGGCCCACAGTTCAGGCCCCACACACGACCGGACCCGAAATAAATAAATAAATAATACTCTTCAGTTTCTATTCAGTTTTTTCGATCTTCCTTTTTTTGTGTTAGGAATTTCATAAATAGGGATGAGTTTATATTATTGAGTAAACAAAGGGGGAGGCAACAATGCTTGATAAGAAATGTACTCATTATCTTGCCCATGTAATTGTAAGCCATCTGTATGCTATTTTCACATTAAATAAAATACTGAATCTGGGGCTGGGAAGGTGGCTCAGTGGTACAGCGCTTGCCTTGCATGCTTGAGGCCCTGGGTTCGATTCCTCAGCAACATATAAGCAGAAGTGGCACTGTGGCTCAAATGGTAGGGCACTAGCCTTGAGCTGAAGAACTGAGGGACAGTGCCCAGTCCCAGAATCCAGGCCCCACGACCGGACCCAAAAAAAAAAATATTGAATCTTCATTGTGTGATTTGAAATTGTTCGGAGAACATGTGATTTCAGTGAATTTGCACAATATTTTGTAGTCCTTGCTAACTTTTCTTTTTTCACATTTTTATATGTTTTTATTGTAAAATACTGTACAAAGGGGTTACAGTTACATGAGTAGGTTAATGAGTACATTTCCTGTCGAGCACTGTTACCTCCTCCTTTGCTTTTCCCCTACCATCCCTTCCCTTGCCACCTCCCTAATGCTTCTCTTCCCCACCTGACATTGTAAAGTTCCTTTTGTACATCTCCTTGTTACAATGGGTCATCCTATTATTTCAGCATTTTGTTTCTTCCTTTCCCCTCCCCAAATTAGAAAAATGTATATACAAGATGCAGGACACTGGAATCAAATACAGTGACAATGGGGACTATACAATGTGAAATTGTTGTGAGAACATGTGATTTCAGTGATTTTGCATAATATTTTATAGACTTTGCTAATTTTTCTTACGATTTCAGTAAACTTACAAAACACTTTTTCTCTTAAATGAAGAAACAAAAAGAATGCATGGATGGATTTGATGTGTTAAAGTAAGATTGGATGGATGGAAGACAAGGAAAAAGTTAATGGACTGTAAAGGAATAGTTCATGGAAAAATAGGAGAGTGGTAGGGAGAAATGAACAAGGAAAATGTAGCCATATACATTTTTTTCGTTTGTGTTAAAATAAAACTTTACTCATAAAAAGAAGGCTGGAGGTGGCCCTTGAATCATGATTTGCCTATCTTGTGTGTGTGTGTGTGTGTGTGTGTGTGTGTGTGTGTGTGTGTGTGTGTGTGTATGGTATTGGGATCATATGTCATATTTTATATGATTTTTGTTGCTTTCAAAAGGTTTAGATATATTCTATCAAGCACTACAGATTCAATTCATCATTGAAAATGACGTAAGGGAAGCCATTAAGGTAATTTCAATTTTTAGAGGAAATAAAAAGTAATGGATATAAGCACATTTGGAGAAAAGAATGCATGTGCCCATATAAAATGATCATAATGAAACCCATTTTTACTATATACACTAGCTTGATGTTGGTGGCTCACTCCTTCACTCCTAGCTACTCAGGAGGCTTAGTTATGAGGATCGCAATTCAAAGCCAGTCCAAGCAGGAAACGCTATTTGACTCTTAGCTCCAATTAACCACCAGAAAACTAGAAGAAGTGCTGTGGCTCAAGGGGTAGGGTGCTTCCCTTGAGGTGAGGAGCTCAGGGACAGCACCCAGGCCAGAGTTCAAGCCCCAAGACCAACAAAAGAAAATCAATCTACTTAGAGTTGGAAAAATAATATCTCTTTTGTCTATTTGGACTAAAAAAAAATTAATTCTTTAAAATAAAAGAAACTAAAGATGGACTCAAATTTGCTTCCATATATACCTTCAAGTTCTGGCTTTATAAAAACAAATGCATAGAACTCAAAACCTATGAAAAGATCTGTAAAGACCTCTACAATGAAAAGCAAAGCTATGAAATAAGAAATTGTATAACAGCCAGAAAATGGAAACACATCCTATTTTCAGAGATGGGCAGAATTAAAATTGTGAAAGTGACTATAATCTCAAAAGTAAATTATACTTTCAATGGTATTTCAATGAAAATTGCAGTGTATGTTTTGCAGGAATTGAAAAATCCTAAGCAAAAATCCAGTCTTGAACACATATAATCTGTATTGAGAATAAGAATATCCTCTCTGAATCCAAACTGAGAAAAAAAGCTAATGGTATTTGTTACCTGGATGTGGTGACAGATGTCTGTCATCCCAGCTCTGTAAAAGGTGGAGATTGAAGGAATCAGAGCTCCAGTACAGTCATGTACAGATGTTAATCTCAACAGTGGTGCATTCCTATAATCACCGCTATGATGGGAATGTAAAAAAAGCATTGAAGTCCCTTTGCTGGCACTGATAGGAAAGGAGCATAAAATCATAAAAAATAATGCACAGAGCAAACTGGTGTTGGAGACTCAGGCCTATAATTCTAGTGACTCAGGCAGGTGAGATCTGAGCATTGTGGTTCAAAACCAGCCTGGACTGGAAAGACTGTGAGCCTCTTATCTTCAAGTAACTAATAAAAAGGTGGAAAGGGAGATATGACTCAAAGTGGTAGATCACTAGAATTGAGCACAAAAACTCAAGAACAGTTCCCAGGTCCTGAGTGTCCAGAAATGGTACCAAAATTAAAAAAAAGAAACCAAAAAGACAGAGTAGAAGAGAAGAGACATAGCAGGGTTATGATAAAGTAACATTACCTTTTAGTCTTCACTGTGGGAACCCTCCAGTAAAACAGCCAGTCTATCACATGACTTACAGCAGAAGAGCTAAGAAAATGAGGCCAGGAAGCAAAGTAGCTTGGAATCAATAAATAGCACCGAGTGGATTTCAGATAGAATAACTACACGACCATGGCAGTTGTTGCATCTCCTGAACTCCAAGAGATGAACAAGCTTCTGTACATCCCCACAGACTTTAGCAGAGAAACAATGAACACACCTACATAAAATCTGTCAGAAAAACAAGATGAGAGGCTTCAGGTGGGCAGGACATTGGGGCCAGCTACATCATTATGTGTGGAACCGTAGCTCAGTAGCTTCCAAGGAGGTAAACAATGGCCAAGAGCAGAATAAACTGCGAGTGGTTGGTTGAGTTGGGGTAAATAAAAGCCACAGGCTGGTAAAAACTGTGTGAGGCTGGGAGGCTAAGGGGTCAGACTTCTAAAATTTTCACTGAAGATCACATTGAGCTCCTATGCTGGAAAAATGGGCGCAAATAGATTCAGTTTCAAAATACAATCTATCAAATATCACCAAGTGCCTCAAAAATGTCACTTTCAAAAAAGGAATGACAATTGTGATATATTAAAAAATAATCACAAAGCAATTTAAACAAAACAGCAATCACCAGACTGAGGAAGAAGTCAGGAAAATCATCAATGTCCACTTCCCAACACAAAATATCTGAAATACCTAGGAATAAATGTAAGCAAGGAGTGGAAAGAGATAAGCTAAGAAACACAACAAAGTAGAAGACATAGGAAGAAATAAAATATCTCTATTGGTAATGGTTTGGGAAAAGGAATATTGTGAAAACATCTGTATTACCCAAAAGTATATATAGATCTAAAGCAATTCTTATAAGAAATCCCAAAATTACTCTTCATAAAATTGAAAATTCAGTTCAAAAGCTCATACAGAAGCAAAGATCCCCAAAAGCCAAAGCGATCTAAAGCAAAAATAGTAATGCAGGAGTGATTACAACACAGATTACTACAGAGCCCTACTAATATACTCAGCATTGTACTTTCCCAAACTCAAACATTTAAACCAGAAAATAGATCAGAGGACCTCAAAATAAATTTGACAAAGGAGTCCACCATGCCCACTCACACAAGATGCACACTCAAGTGTGGTAAAACTTGATAAAAGTCAGAAAACTGTGAAGCACATCTCAGGAAGTGGAAAAACCTCCCATGCTCCTGGATTGGGAGGATTAACATCATGAAAATGGCAATACTGCCAAAGGCTATCTACAATTTCATTGAAATACCCATCAACATCCAATTCTCATTTTTCAATGAAATAGAAGCAGCAAATAAAATTTCGTATGGAACGATGAAAGACCCAGAACAGCAAAAACAATGCTTACCAGAAAGTAACATGCTGGAGAAATATCAATACCAAACTTCAAACTCTACTACCAAACCATTGTAATTTAAATGGGTTGGTACTGGCACAAGAACAGACATGAGGATTAATGAATACAACTAAAAACACAGAAATGAACCTGCAGACCTAGCGCCACCTAGTCTTCAATAAGGGAGCCACAAAAAAAAAAAATAGGATGGATGAAAGAAAGCCTCTTCAGTACATAGTGCTGGAAAAATTGATTAAACAACTATAGATAACTAAAGTTAGTTCCTTATGTGTCACCATGCATCATCTTAAACTCCAAGTGTACCAAAGACCTCAAAGTAAAAGAAGAAATCCTGAAAACATTAGAGGAAGAAATAGGAGAAAGTCTAGGGCTCCATGTCACAGGCTGATATTTTCTCAATAAAGACCCAGAAACATACAAATCAAAGAAAGTTTGGACAAATGGGATTGTATGACATTACAGAGCTTCTGCATGGCAAAGGACATAGCTAGCAAGATCAATAGAAAGCCCATGGATTGGGAAAAGAGCTTCACTAGCCAGACAACAGAAAAGATACTCATAACTAAAACATATTTAAAATAAAAAAATTAAATCCCCCCAAAACAAATCTTCAAAGAGACAACAATCCCATTAATAAGTGAGCTAAAATTTAAATTCTTCTCAAAAGAAGAAATACGAATGGCCAATAGACATATAAAAAATGATCAAGCTCTCTCACCATAAAAGATACCAAAATCAAAACAACATCAAGATCTACCTTACCCAATTAGAGTATGTATAATTAAGAAATCTAATAACAACAGACGCTGGAGGGGATGATGCCAAAAGGGAACCCTACTGCCTTAAAGTCAAATAACTACCAACGAAGAATATTCTACCCAGCTAAGCTCTCATTCATAGCAGAAGGACAAATAAAATTCCACAGCAAGGGAAATTGGAAGCAATATATCGCTACCAAATCAGCTCGTCAAAAAAATTCTCAAAGACTTTCTTCATATAAAAGAAACAACAAGAACAGAATATAGGCAATAAAGCTGTCCACAAACAGAGAAATACATAATCACAACAAGAAAAGCCAAGACACAAATTTCCTGTCCCCCCACCCCCAAAAAAAGGGACAAAGAGGTAGGGACAACCAGCCACCACTCAATCCTAACCCTTAATATTAATGGTCTTAACTTTCCAATTAAGTGACAGATTGTCCAGTTGGATCAAAAAGCAAGATCCATCTATTTGCTGTTTTCAAGAGACACACCTTGCCCACAAAAATAAGCATATTCTGAAAGTGAAAGGCTGGAATAAAATATATCAAGCAAATGGCCCACATAAACAGGTGAGAGTTGCAATCCTAATATCAGATAAAATAGACTTCAACTTAAAATCAATGAGAACTGATAAAGAAGTTCACTACATACTAATTAAGGGATCTCTCCTTCCTCAGGATATTACAATTCTAAATATCTACTCACCAAGTAACAGAGCACCCAAATTTATACAAGAAACGAAAACAAATTGTTTGAATAGGGATATAGGTGGACAAATTGAAACAATGAGATGTACAAGACGCTATGCTGAAAAACAAACTTTACAACTTTGGCGAGAAGGGGAGAAGGGAGGGAAGCTGGTGGGGGGAGGGGATATAGGAGGGCAGAGATGGTAAGGGAAAACAAAGGAGGAGGCCACAATCCTTGATAAGAAATGTACTCATTACCTTGCTCATGTAATTGTAACCTCTCTGTATGGTATTTTCACAATAAACAAAACCTTATTAATAAAAAAAGAAACACTACTTTCCCTCAAATCTCACATAGATCCAAAGACATAAATTGGTGCTGATTTAATACACCACTATCCCCATTAGATAGATCAACCTAGAAAAAACTCGACAAAGAAACCTTGGATCTCAAAATCTGCATAGATCAACTAGACTTAACAGATATATACTGAATATTTCACCTAGCAGCATCAGATTACACCTTCTTCTCAGCAGCACATGGAATATTCTCCAAAATAGAACACATTCTAGGCCACAAAGCAAATCTGTCCAAATTCAGAAAGCTTGAAATTATGCCCTACATTCCTCAGACCACAAGGAAATAGAATTAGAATTCAACACCAAAAGCCACCAAAGAAATACTGTAACACATGGAGGCTGAAAAACACACTGTTGAACCACCAGTTGGTCATGGAAGAGATTAGAAAGAAAATTCAAATCTTCATGTTATTTAACAAAAATGAACACACAAACTATCAATTCCTCTG